AGATATTGGCACAATGATCGACATCTTTGAGATAGAGATCTGGCTCCGTTTAGCAATCTTTCTGTTTCGCCTTTTCTTGTTTACTTTATAATCTGCTTCCTTAGGACAAATGAAGATTTTTTAAAGATTATTTTTATATGGTTGTGAGAAAATTGTGTCATAGATGACTCATTTACAGTATATGTTCTCAATACCATTATAGTAAAATAGAGATATGATTATACCGCAAAGATTTTTTTTATTTTTTATATCAGTAAGAACATATGATATAGATATGTATGTATTATCATCACCATTATGATAAGATAGAGATATAATATTCATACTACAGACAAAGATTCTTTGTATATGTTTGTGAGAACATTATGCTATAGATGTATGGATATGTGTTCTCAATACCATATGTAAAAATGAGATTGTAAAACAAATGAATATTGTTATAGTTTACGAAAATTTGTTCGATGCCTTGTCGAAAGAGGGAAGAAGAAGGAGAGAAGAAGAGAAGAGGAGAAGAAAAAGGAGAAAAAAAAGAAGAAGAAGAAAAAAAGAAGAAGAAGAAAAAGAAGAAGAAAAAGAGGAAAAAGAAAAAAAAGAGAGAAAAAAGAAGAAGGACGAGAGAGTGAGAGACAGACAGACAGACAGACAGACAAAAAAACAGCCAGTGGAAAGACTGAAATTTCCCCATCCATAGTCTCTGTAAACCTACTCTTCCCGAACCAATTATCACCACACCCGCCTTTCCCTATTCAAATATGACCGGATACCAATACACCTAATATCACACACACAAGCAATTAATCACAAGCACCATGATTCCAGAACAAATATGACCGGATATTAATACACCCTATATCACACACACTAGCAATTAACCACAAATTCCATGATTTTAGAACTAAATTTTCAATCTTTCGTCGCAGAGAGATGGGGGCCAACGCGGATGATGACGTCACTGTCTCCCCCAAGCCGGGAGTTTCGACCAAGTGAGTTTTTTTTAATTTTATTTATTTATTTATTTATTTATTTATTTACGTAGAAATGTAGCTTTGATAATTGCATAGAAAAGTAGCTTTGATGATTGTATAGAAAAGTGGCTTTGATAATTACATAGAAAAGTGGCTTTGATAATTACATAGAATAGTAGCTTTGATAATTACGTGAAATATTTTTATTGATGGTCAGAGATTTTTTTTTTTTACATAAAAAAGCAGCTTTAATAACTACGTGAAATATTTTAATTGATGGTCACTCCTTATATCTCATCCTACATACACATTTCTCTATTCGTACATTTCTCAGTTTTTTTTAAATCTATCTACGTAACTAAACAGAGGATGATTACATTTATTGCTTTTTTCCAGTACGGCAATTATTACCAGTTTTTTTATATTTATTTATCTATCTACGTAACTAAACAGAGGATAATTACATTTATTTTTTTCCAGTACGGCAATTATTACCACAGTTTATCTTTCTACGTAACAAAACAGAGGATAATTACATTTATTGTTTTTTTTCCAGTACGGCAATTATTACCACAGTTTTTTATATTTATTTATCTTTCTACGTAACAAAACAGAGGATAATTACATTTATTTTTTTATTCCAGTACGGCAATTATCACCAGGACAATGAGCGAAATCTTCAGCGTCCCTCGGGAAGTCTTCTCAACGCCTGAGTAAGTTCTTGAATACAGTGCTCCTTCGAGTTACATATCGCTATTCTTATTTTTGAAAGATATTTTCATCTCATATTTTGATTATTGTCATCAATTATTATCATTATTATTATTATTATTATTATTATTATTATTATATATATATACATACATACAGACGACACACACACACACACACACACACACACACACAACACACACACACACACACACACACAACACAACACACATATATATATATATATATATATATATATATATATATATATATATATATATATATTATATATATATACATATATATATATGTATATGTATAATATATACATGTATATACGTATATACATATATACATACACACACACACACATATATACATATATGTGCGTGTGTGTGTATTTTATTATTCATCTATATCTATCTATCTATTTGTCTATCTATCTATCTATTTGTCTATCTATCTATCTATATCTATCTATCTATTTGTCTATCTATCTATCTATATCTATAACTATATAATATACATATATACATATATATATATATATATATATATATATATATATATGTATATATATTATATCTGTGTGTATATGGCTGTGTGTATACATACGCATCCACGTCGTACAGACAATACATACGCAATACTGACGCAAACCTACGAACTCCAGAGATTCCACGGAGACCAGCCTGAAGACGGAAATGCTCAACCTCGCGCAGGCAGTCATGGGGCTGAACGCCAGGTGAGAGAGAACGGCTCTTCGCGGTCACGACCTTGCAGTCTGCTTCCGGCTCTAATTGCCGTTCATTCATCTTTGAGTTAAAGAGGAAGAATATGAGGATATGGAGACACACACAATGTATTTGTGTATATATTATATATATATATATATTATATATATATATTATATATATATATATATATATATAGTGTGTGTGTGTGTGCGTGTGTGGTGTGTGTGTGTGTGTGTGTGTGTATGTATTAGTTTCTTGGTTATTTTAGTTATTCCTCTGTTTATATAATTATTCCCATCAAAAATGCACAATCACCAAGGACGCCCTTCGCCACACGACCCTTCCTGTACCCCCCCCCCCCAGTCCCCTTGGCCCCTCCTGGCCCCCTCCCCCTGGCCCCTCCCTTGGCACCCCATAATGCTCGCAAGTCCCCCTCTGACCTCTGACCTCCCCCCCCCCCCTCCCCCACAGCGACGGGCAGACGGCGGCGGCGCTGGAGTCGCTGGAGATCCTCAACGGGTCCCGCCTCGAGGCCGCCGCCCTGCCCATCAACCTGACGGACGCCTTCAACATCAGCGACCTCGCGCCCACGCCCAACATCACGATGCCCAACTCGCGCGGGGGCGGCGTCGCGCAGGACAGCTTCGGGGACGACGCCGCCTGGATCCTGACGCGACCTTCATCATCTTCACCATGCAGTCGGGTGAGGCGGCGGTGGGAAGGGGCGTGGCTGCGGGGACGGGGGCGGGGACGGGGCGGGGGTGAGGCGAAGGGGGCGTGACTGCGGGGGCGGTGGTTGTGGTTGCGGGGCGGGTGCGTGGCTGCGGGGGCGGGGGTTGTGGCTGCGGGAAGGGGCGGGCGGCGGGGGCGGGGGCTTGGCTGCGGGGGCGGGGCGTTGCGCGGGGGCGGGGGTGAGGCAGCGGGGGCGGGGTGAGGCAGCGGGGGCGGGGGTGAGGCAGCGGGGCGGGGGTGAGGCAGCGGGGGCGGGGGTGGGGCGGTGGGGGCGGGGTGATGGTGGGGAAGGGGGCGGAGTCAAGTTACTTGCAGAATGCTTGCATTGCTGGAATGTAGAGTTGATAATATCGTATGTATTTTTTTTTTTTTCCTTTCCTTTTATTTTTTTTTTATTGATTTTTATCGGCTTAAAAGTTACTTTTTCTCGCCTTCGACTTATTTTAGAGTTATTTGGGGGCGATGGCGGTAGAAATTGGGATGCATTTAAAAGACTTAACCGAAAGATGTATTGCTGATAATCTTGCGTTTTTATGCGATAAAAATGTTACTCTTTTTTCCAAATTCCAAAGCATATTTAAAGGTTTACATGCATTTAAATTTGCAGAAGTTGAAATCCATGTAAATATTAATTCAGAAACTGGCTTACGAATGAATTTAAAATCAGAAACTGAAATAGATATGAATATGAATGAAAAGATGGAATATATATAGATATAAAATGAGAAACAGGAATAAAAATAAGCATATATTCAGAAATTGAAATACATTCAAATACCTCTTCCTTCCTTTTCCTCTTTCTTCCCTCCCTCGTCTCTCCTCTTCTGTCCTCTTCCCTCCCTCTTCCCTCGTCTTCTCTCCCTCCTATTTCCTCCTTCTTTCCTCGTCTTCCTCTCTTTCCCTCCCATTCTCTCCTCTTCCTCCCCTTCCTTCCTCCTCCCTTTTCCTCCCTCTCTCTTCCCTCCCTTCTCTCGTCTTCCCTCTCCCTTCCCTCATCCTCCTTCTCCTCCCTCCCCTTCCCTCCCTTCTCCTCCTCTTCCCTCCCCTTCCCTCCTCCTCCCTCCCTCTTCCTCCCCTTCCTTCCTCCTCCCTCCTCTTCCCTCCCTTCCCTCCTCCTCCTCCCCTTCCCTCCTCCTCCTCCCTTCCTCCCCTTCCCTCCCCTTCCCTCCTCCTCCCTCCCTCTTCCCTCCCTTCCTCCTCCCCCCAGGTTTCGGGCTGCTGGAGTCTGGCGCCGTGTCCATGAAGAACGAGGCCAACATCATGGTGAAGAACGTGGTTGACGTCGTCCTCGGAGGCATCACCTACTGGCTCTTCGGCTACGCGTTGTCCTTCGGGGAGTCGGAGTGGACGAACCCCTTCTGCGGGTGGGGCGGCTTCGCCCTCAACCCCAGCGAGGAGGAAATGGGCAAGGTCTACACCACTTTCTTCTTCCAGCTCTCCTTCGCCACCACCGCCACCACCATCGTCTCCGGCGCCGTCGCGGAGAGGTGAGTGGGGGTTGGGGGGAGGGGGAGGGTGGGGGTGTTTGTGGAGGGGAGGGGAAGGACGCGGGTGGAGGGGAGGGGGGGGCGTGGGGGTATTTGAGGAGGGGAGGACCGAGGGAGTTGGTAAAAGGAAAATCAAAATGCTTTTCCTTGCCTAAATCCGCGCTTCTGAAGGGAACGCATCATCGGACCTCTTCTCCTCCGGCATCTCCTCCTTCCTTTCGTTATCCAAGACCCTTCGCCCTTTCTTCCAGGTTCAGCTTCGTGTCTTCTCCTCTAACTTCTCATCTCTAACTTCCTTTCGTTATCTAAAACCCTTCACCCTTTCTTCTAGGTATAACTTTATATTTTCTCCCCTAACTTTCTGTTCCTTTCGTTATCTAATGTTTTTCCTTGTCTAAATCCGCGGTTCTGAGAGGGACGCATCATCGGACCTCTTCTCCTCCTTCCTTTCGTTATCCAAGACCCTTCACCCTTTCTTCCAGGTTCAACTTCGTCTCTCCTCTAACTTCCTTTTCCTTTCGTTATCTAAGAAACTTCACCCTTTCTTCCAGGTTGAACTTCGTCTCTTCTCCTCAGACTTACTTTTTCTTTCGTTAACTAAGACCCTTCACCTTCTCTTCCAGATTCAACTTCGTATTTTCTCCTCTAACTTCTCATCTCCAACTTCCTTACGTTATCTAAAACCCTTCACCCTTTCTTCCAGGTTCAACTTCGTCCCCTCTCCTTTAACTTCCTTTCGTTATCTAAGACCCTTCACGGTTTATTTCAGATTCATCTTCGTCTCTTCTCTAACTTCCTTTCGTTATCTACGACCCTTTACCCTTTCTTCCAGGTTCAACTTCGTCGCCTACGTCATCTCCTCTCTAACTTCCTTTCGTTAAACAAATCCCTTCTCCCTTTCTTCCAGGTTCAACTTCGTCTCTTCTCCGCCTTCTCCAACTTCCCTTCGTTATCTAAGACTCTTCACCCTTTTTTCACCCTTTCTTACAGGTTCAACTTCGTCTCTTCTCCTCTATCTTCTCTCCTCTAACTTCCTTTTCCTTTCGTTATCTAAGACCCTTCCCCCTTTCTTCCAGGTTCAACTTCGTCTCTTCTCCTCCGCCATCTCCAACTTCCCTTCGTTATCTAAGACTCTTCATCCTTTTTTTCCAAGTTCAACTTCTTTTCCTCTAACTTCCCTTTCCTTTCATTATCTTAAACTCTTCACCCTTTTATCCATATTCAACATTGCCTCTTCTCCTCTAACTTCCTTTCGTTAACTAAAACCCCTCACCCTTTCTTCTTCTCCTCCGCCATCTCCAACTTCCCTTCGTTATCTAAGACTCTTCATCCTTTTTTCACCCTTTCTTCCAGGTTCAGCTTCGTCTCTCCTCTAACTCCCATTTCCTTTCGTTATCTAAGACTCTTCATCCTTTTTTCACCCTTTCTTCCAGGTTCAGCTTCGTCTCTCCTCTAACTCCCATTTCCTTTCGTTATCTAAGACTCTTCATCCTTTTTTTCACCCTTTCTTCCAGGTTCAGCTTCGTCTCTCCTCTAACTCCCATTTCTTTCGTTATCTAAGACCTTCCATCCTTTTTCACCCTTTCTTCCAGGTTCAGCTTCGTCTCTCCTCTAACTCCCATTTCCTTTCGTTATCTAAGACTCTTCATCCTTTTTTCACCCTTTCTTCCAGGTTCAGCTTCGTCTCTCATCTAACTCCCATTTCCTTTCGTTATCTAAGACTCTTCACCCTTTCCTCTTCTCCTCCGCCATCTCCAACTTCCCTTCGTTATCTAAGACCCTTCACCCTTTCTTCCAGGTTCAACTTCGTCTGTTCTCCTCTAACTTCCATTCGTTGACCCTTCACCCTTCCTTCCAGGTTCAATTTATCTCCTCTTCTAACTTCTCATCTCATACTTCCTTTCGTTTCGTTCGTTCTTCCAGGTTCAACTTCGTCTCTTCTCCTCTAACTTCCTTTTCCTTTCGTTATCTAAAACCTTTCACCCTTTCTTCCAGGTTCAACTTCTTCTCCTCCGCCATCTCCAACTCCCCTTCGTTATCTAAGACTCTTCACTCTTTTTTTCACCCTTTCTTCCAAGTTCAACTTCTCCTCTAACTTCCCTTTCCTTTCATTATCTTAAACTCTTCACCCTTTTATCCATATTCAACATTGCCTCTTCTCCTCGAACTTCCTTTCGTTAACTAAAACCCCTCACCCTTTCTTCCAGGTTCAACTTCGTCTCTTCTCCTCTAACTTCCTTTTCCTTTCGTTATTTAAAACCCTTCACCTTTTCTTCCAGGTTCAACTTCGTCTCTTCTCCTCTAACTTCCTTTTCCTTTCGTTATCTAAGACCCTTCGCCCTTTCTTGCAGGTTCAACTTCGTCGCCTACGTCATCTTCTCCGCCGTGAACACCGTGGTCTACTGCTTGCCGGCGGGTTGGCTCTGGGGCGCCCACGGGTTCCTCTATCAACTCGGGGTGGTCGACATCGCCGGCTCCTGCGGGGTGCACCTCTGCGGGGGGTCTTCGGGTGAGTCTCTAGGGCGCGGCGGAAGGGGTGGGGGGTGGGGTAGGGGGTGTGTGGGGGTGGGGGGGGAGTGGGGAGGGCAGGTCATTTTTTTTTTTTTTTTGGGGGGGGAGGTAGATATTGATATATTGATTGATGATGTATGATTATCTTATAGCATGGAGCAGTCTCTGATTATAATTTTTTTTCTATTCCATTTTTTCTCTCGTTCTTTCCATCGTTCCTTTTATACCTGGATTTTTCTTCTTCGTTTATCGTGCTCCTTTTTCTCTCCTCTTCCCCTTCCTGCCTCGTTATTTTATTCTTGTTTCTTCCACTTTCTTCCATCTCTTCTTCCTCCCTTCTTTCCCTCTCTCTTTATCCGTATCCCCTTCTTATCTTTTTTCCTCCCCTCCCCCTCTCTTTCCTCCCTCCTCTCCCTTTTCCCGTATTCCCCTCCCTTCTCATCGTTTCCTCCCCTTCCCTCCCTCTCCATTTACCCGTATTTCTCCCCCCTCCTTATCTTATTCTTCCCCTCTCTCCTTTACCCGTATTCCTCCCCTTTCCGTACCTTATTCGTACCGTCGCCTCTCCCCCTTTCTTTCCCCATCCCTCCCCTCCAACCTCCTCCCTTCTTCGTCCTCCCCATCCTCCTCCACCCTTCCCCTCCTTCTCCCTCCCTCCCTCCCCTCTCCACCCCTCTCCACCCTTCCCTCCCTTCCTTCACCCTCTCTCACCCTTCCCTCCCTTCTCCTCCCTTCGCCCTCCCCCAGCCCTGATCGCCTCGAAGCTCGTGGGCCCCAGGATCGGCCGCTACGACGACGGCGAGGACCCCCTGCCGATGGGGTCCCCGACGAACGCTATTCTGGGGATGTTCATGCTGTGGTGGGGGTGGCTCGGCTTCAACTGCGGCAGGTGGGGGGACGCGCCAGGGTTCTCGCTTGCTTGTTTTTTTGTTTTGTTTGATTTTGTAGGTGTTTTTTTTTTGTTTTTTCGTTGTTTTTTTTGTTGTTTTTTCTTATTTTTCGTTTTTTTCTGCTTTTGTTGTTGTTTTCTTTTGTTTTGGACGTGTCGTGTTTTCGCTTTTAGAATTCACGTTTTTTTCGTTTTTTAAATATATTTTTACTCTGTTTTTTTTCATTCTTTTTGTTATTCTTTTGTTTTATTTTGGATTCTGTTTCGTTTTTATTATTTTTTTACCTATTTATTTTTTCTCTTTGTTTGTTGTTGTTTTGTTTGTTTGTCTTTTTGTTATGTAATGAAACAAATAATAATGATTATAAGACATATAAACAATGGTAATCATCAAATGATAATGAACATGCTAACCTCAACACGGAAAGACCAATACAACCCTTACATCACAATATCAAGACAATTCAAACCAAATATTCCCCTTAGAACCCCCTCTTAGATTTCCCACATCCACTCGCACGCCCTCTAATCCCCTCCCCTCCTCCCGCCCACAGCACCTTCGGCATCACTGTACCCCCCTCCCCACCCACTCGCTCGCCCTTAATCCCCTCCCCCCCCCTTAGATTTCCCCACCCACTCGCACGCCCTCTAATCCCCTCCCCTCCCCTCCCGCCCACAGCACCTTCGGCATCACTGACAACAAGTGGAAGTACGCCGCCCGCACCGCCGTCACCACACTGCAGGCGAGCATCGGAGGCGGACTCGCGGGCATGAGCCTCTCGTGGTACAAAGAATCACCGGCTGGAGATCGGGGACGTCGTCAACAGCGTTCTGGGCGCTGGTTAGCATCACGGGTGAGTGATGGGGAGGTGGGGAGAGGGAGAGGAGGGAGGAAGAGGGAGGGAGGGAGGGAGAGGGGAGAGGGAGGGGGAGGGATAGGGAGAGGGGGCATGAGCCTCTCGTGGTACAAGAATCACCGGCTGGAGATCGGGGACGTCGTCAACAGCGTTCTGGGGGCGCTGGTTAGCATTACGGGTATGTGGGGAGGTGGGAGAGGGAGGAGGAAGAGGGAGGAAGAGGGAGAGAGGGAGAGGGGAGAGAGGGAGAGGAAGGGAGGGAGAGGGGAGGGAGGGATAGGGAGAGGGGAGAGGGGAGAGTGGGGGGGAGATCGGGGATGTCAGCAGCGTTCTGGGGGCGCTGGTTAGCATCACGGGTGAGTGATGGGGAGGTGGGAGAGGGGGAGGGAGAGGGAGGAAGAGGAGAGGGGAGAGAGGGAGAGGGGAGAGGGAGGGAGGGAGGATAGGGAGAGGGGGCATGAGCCTCTCGTGGTACAAGAATCACCGGCTGGAGATCGGGGACGTCGTCAACAGCGTTCTGGGGGCGCTGGTTAGCATCACGGGTGAGTGGGGGAGGTGGGGAGAGGAGGGAGAGGGAGGAGGAAGAGGGAAGGGGAGGGAGTGGGAGAGAGGGAGGGAGGGTAGGGAGGGAAGGAGAGGGAGGGAGGGGAGAGGGAGAGTGGGAGAGGGGAGGGAGGGGGAGAGGGAGAGGGGAGGGAGGGAGGGATAGGGAGAGGAGGAGAGGGGGAGATCGGGGATGTCGTCAACAGCGTTCTGGGGGCGCTGGTTAGCATCACGGGTGAGTGGGGAGGTGAGTTAGGGGAGGGAGGGGAGAGGGGGAAGGGAGAGAGGAGGGGAGAGAGGGGGAAGGGGGAAGGATTAGGGGACGGGGAGAGAGGGGGAAGGGGGAAGATTAGGGGACGGGGAGGGAGGGAGGAGAGGAGGGAGGGGGAAGGGAGGGAGGGAGAGAGGAGGAATGGGAGAGGAAGGGAGGGAAAAAGGTAGGAGAGAGGGGGACGGGAAGGAAGGGAGGGAGAGGGAAGGGGAGAGGAATGGGAGAGTGAGGGAAAGGAGAGGGAGAGGGGAAGGGAGGGAGGGAGGAGAAGGGAAGGGAGGAGGGAGAGGGAAGGGGAAGGAATGGAGAGGGGAGGGGAGAGGAAGGAAGGCGGTAGGAGGAAAGAGGGGACGGGGAAGGAAGGGAGAGGGTGGAAGGGGGAAGGAATGGAAGAAAGGGAAAGGGAGGGAAGGGAGGTGGAGTTGAGAGAGAGAGGAGACGGGCAAGGGAGGGAGTGGGAGAGAAAGGGGAAAGAATGGGAGAGAGGGAAGGGATGAGATGGAGAGGGTTGTGGAGAAAAAGGGGAGGGAGAGGGGGGAGAGTGAGGGAAGGAAGGAGAGGGATAGGGTTGTGGAGAAGAAGAGGAGGGAGAGGGTGGGGGAAGGAGAGAGGAAGAGGGAGAGGGAGAGGGTGTATAACGGGTGAGTAAGAAGAAGGGGGAAGGAGAAAGGTGAATATAAAGAAGGGAGAGGGAGAGAAATGGGATGGGGTGAGGAGGAGACGGAGAAGGAGAAGAGGAGGGAGAGGGAAAGGAGAAATAGGGAGAAAGGGAGGAGAAAGCATCATGGGTGGGGAGGGGAGGGATAGGTGGGAGGGAGGGGGAGGGAGAGTGGGAAGGAGAAGGAGAAGGAGAGGGAGAGGGGGAAAGTATAAGCAGAGGTGGATTAGGAAGGGGAAGGAAAGAGGGAAAGGGAAAGAGGGGGGGAGAGGACAGAGGCAGAGGACAGAGACAGAGGACGAGGACAGAGGACAGAGGACAGAGGACAGAGGACAGAGGACAGAGGACAGAGGACAGAGGAAAGAGGAGAGGACAGAGGACAGAGGACAGAGGAGACAGAGGACAGAGGACAGAGGACAGAGGACAGAGGACAGAGGACAGAGGACAGAGGACAGAGAGAGAGAGAGAGAGAGAGAGAGAGAGAGAGAGAGAGAGAGAGAGAGAGAGAGAGAGAGAGAGAGAGAGAGAGAGAGGAGAGAGAAAGAGAAAAGAGAAAGAGAAGAAAAAAAGAGAAAAGAAAGAAAAGAAAAAGAAAAAGAAGAAAGAGAGAGAGAGAGTGATCGAGAGCATCCTTATACAATTTCTTGTCTCCTATACATATCTTTTCAAACGTCCCTGTGTCTACCAAATCCTCGCGTCCACACATGCTATTCTCCCTTTTTGTCTCATTTCCCTCATTTGCCTCATACCCCACCCCCCCTTTAAAGAAGAAAATATGAAAATGATAATGATAATGATATTATTATTATTATTATTATTATTATTATTATTATTATTATTATTATATAATATAATAATAATGATAAATAATAATAATAATGATAATAATATAATAATAATATAATAATAATAATAATAATAATAATAATAATAATGATAATGATAATAATTATAATAATGATAATGATAATGATAATGATAATGTAATAATAATAATGAATAATAATAATAATATAATAATTAATAATAATAATGATATGATAATGATAATATAATAATATAAATAATAAAAAAAGAAGATATACCCTTCCCGCCTCCCCCAAGATCTGGATGCGCCCTCTAAACAAAAACAAAAACAAAACAAAAAAACAGACAAATAAATAAATATCTAACCCACCGTCTCCTCCTCCTCCCCCCCCCCACACAGCCGGGTGCGCCCTCTTCACCACGTGGAGGCTCTCTTCATCGGCATCGTGGGCGGCCTCATCGCTGTGCTGGCGATGCCTCTCTTCGACAAACTCCACATTGACGACCCCGTGGGAGCGACGTCCGTGCATGGTGAGTCGCGAGGCGTGAGTCTGGGGTTGAAGGAGTGAGTCATGAGTCATGAGTCAGGGGTTGAAGGGATGAGTCTCCCATGAGTCAGGGGTTGAAGGAATGAGTCGCGAGTCATGAGTCAGAGGTTGAAGGAGTTAGTCACGGGTCATGAGTCAGGTTGAAGGAATGAGTCAGTTCAGTCGTCATGAGTCAGGGGTTGAAGGGATGAGTCATGAGTCATGAGTCAAAAAGAATGTATAGGGTGAGTCGATTTGTCGATTTGGAAGTAAATGAGTCTCAAAGAGAGATAACAGGATTTATGGATATCTTCTGAGTACAGGGTAAGTCTCCCGTTTCTAACGCCAGAAAAAAAAAAATACCGAATTTAATAATAACAATCCGGTTTTACGTCGCGAACTCCCCCGTAAGGACTATTACCATGCATTCTTTCCAAGGACTTTGGGCTTAGCAGGTGGTGCCCGTTGCCTCGACCAGATACCCTTCCTTCTGGGGTCGAATTCTCAAAAGAGCCTTAAGTTAAGGCGCACTGGAGGCCTTAACCGTCCTGCTGTATTTCCCTTATATAAGAGCGAAGAGTGTTGATTTCCGCCAGCTGTAGAGCGCTAAAGGCCGCTCTCCCCCTGCCTTAACTTGAGGCGCCTCAACTCGCACCAATATGGCGGTTTTCTTGCTCTGCGTATGTGTACGTAAGATCGCTCGGCCGTAAGTTAAGGCACCTTAAGGAGATACGGCGCCTTAACACGTTTGAGAATCTGGCCCCTGATCTCGAACCCTTGGTCGGGATTCGAACTCTCGTGATGTGAGGCCGGCCGATGGGTTCGAAGCAGCGCGAGTCACCACTGATAACAATAATAATAACAAGGATACATTTCCCTCTTGATTTGCTTACTCGTTTTATCGATAGGCCTATGTTGTAGGTGATTCTGTGTTGTAGATGTTACTCCCTTATTAATTTGCTTACCCTTTTCATAAATAGGCCTATATAGGATGTAATATTATCTTAATTTACTTGTTTTATCGATAGGCTTATGTTGTAGGTGATTCTATGTTGTAGATATTACTCCCTTATTAATTTGCTTACTCGTTTTATCAGTTGGCCTATATAGGATAAAGCATACCCTTATTAATTCACTTTCTCGTTTCTCCCATAGGCCTATGTGGAATTTGGGCGATGATCTCCATAGGCCTCTTCGTCAAAGCGGACTCTCTCCTCGGCATGACAGGAGGCAAAGCTGGTCTCTTTCGGGGTGAGGATAATGCTCAAATTTGCATCATGAGGATAGTGGGGCTGTGGTCATAACCAAAGACTATATACGAAAGATAGGAAAGCATGGCAAAAGCCTGTGAGACCCAACGGTTGGCGGATAGTGTAATATCTGAACAATAGATGGCGCTGTGTGAAGTTTTGGACCTCACATTTTTTTTAAATCGGTGTGATACGTGCTTTCCTATCTTTCTTATATAGTCTTTGGGTCATAACGAAGGTCCGAGTTGGAATTGGTAATAGTGATAATTATTTTTGGATATGTTGGTTGTTGTTATCTTTGTTTGTGATTATTATTGTTGTATTTTATAATTTTAATTTCTATTATTGTTCATCACTTTTATCGTGTTTACTACTGTCGTATTTATTATTGTTATCCTTGTTTATATTAATTTTTGTTATCCTATTCATCATTGTCATATTTATAATTGTTAATCCTTAATTATATTTATCGCTCTTATCCTTATTTATATCTCTCAGTTATCCTTATTTTCATCTAGCTTTGTTATCCTTGATTATATTCATTATTATTATCCTCACTCATATTCATCACTATCACATCTGTGCCTGTCATATCTTTGTTATCATTATCTAACAATTTTCGTTCCTTATCACTGACCGGCCCGACCAAAAGCACATTCGTCATACAGACACGCACATACGCAGAAATACATACATATCTATCGGTCTACACAAGCATCCCTAACGACTAGATTGATGGATAATGTATATCGGACAGATAGACTAACATGCATTAATTTCGTTGTATATGCATGCTCGTATATGTGAATATTCCTTGGGTCTGGTCTCAGACAGATAGACTAATTTGCATCTATTTTTGTGTTTATCCTCAGACAGATAGACTGATATGCATTTATTTTGTGTATATCTGAATATTCATTGGGTCGATCCTAAGACTAATATGCATCTATTTTTGTGTTTATCCTCAGACAGATAGACTAACATGCATTTATTTTGGTGTTTATCCTTAGACAGATAGACTAACATGCATTTATTTGGTGTTTATCCTCAGACAGATAGACTAACGCATTCATTTGTGTATTTATCCTCAGACAGATAGATTAACATGCATTTATTTTGTGTTTATCTTCAGACAGATATACTAACATGCATTTATTTTGGTGTTTATCCTTAGACAGATGGACCAATATGTTTATTTTTGTGTATATGCATGCCTCTATATGTGAATATTCCTTGGGTCGGGCCTCAGACAGATAGACCAATATGCATTCATTATTGTGTATATCTGAATATCTATTGGGTCGGGTTTCGCACAATTTTAACAAACTGGTCGTTATCCTCAATTTTTTGTCTTCCTCCCAGGTGGCGGGTTCTACCTCCTCGGCGTGCAGACTTTGGCGTGTGTTGTGACTTCTGTTTGGTCAATGTCTGTCACTTACTTTCTGCTCACGGTGAGTCATGGGGTTTAAGGGTTGGTGTGTCGCGTTTGTGTTTGTGGGGAGGGGTGTGTGTGTGGGTGTGTGGTGTGGGGGGGGGAGGTGTGTGTGTGTGCGTGTGTGTGTGTGTGGTGTGTTGTGTGTGTTGTGTGTGTGGGGGAGGGAGTGTGCGTGTGTGTGTGTGTGTGTGTGTGTGTGTGTGGTGTGTGTGTTTGTGTATGTGTGTGTGTGTGTGTGTGTGTGTATTTGTGTGTGGTGTGTGTTGTGTATGTGTATGCGTGTGTGTATGTGTGTATGTGTGTGTGTGTGTGTGTGTTGTGTGTGTGTGTTCGTGTATGTGTATGCGTGTGTGTATGTATGTATGTGTGTGTGTGCATCTGTATGTGTGTGTGTGTATGTGTAAGTACGCGTGTCTGTGTGCGTGCGTATGTGTACGTATGTGTAAATAGGATCCCTCCCAACCCCTCCAACCCCCTATCTAACCCCCCCCCCCACTCCCTCTTCCAGTTCATCGACAAGTTCGTAGTCAGCATCAGAATGTCCGAGTGGGAGGAGCTAGTCGGCGCCGACTTCGCCGAGCACGGAATCAGACGCCGCGGGGTCGGGGGTGTCGCGCGCC